AGATACTCCGTTAGATCTAGCAGTTTTCCAACAGCGATGCACCAAAGGCGAACAAACATTTTCAGCATATGACGAGAATGGCTTTGCTCAAGCAAAGCGGGAAGAATCACTTGAAGGAGTAATAATTCCAGAGATAATTCCACAAGAGTAGTTTCTCTAAAATATGAAAAGTGAAACTGAAAAAATGTAATACTCATTTTAGTCATGTAAAAATATATTATATCTACTAGATAATTAAAACCAATAAAACAAGGAATAATTACCCTTAGAATGTTGAAGCTGTAGAGGCAAGTACGAGCTTTTGAAAAAGAAACGAACTGCACAGGAATATACGAAAGGAACAGTGAAGTTAAGTGACACCAATAATTTTTGATGGTGTAACAGTTTTACAGTCTTAATTTTCAGTTACCATGCGTAAGGCGACTTCATGGCAAAGTCTTGGAGGGTTTCATTCAGCTGTGGATTAAGAAAGGTTGATGATCCCTGGAAAAGAGACAAGGTGATGTCGTACAACTGGTTCCATTGCAATCGTCATGAGTTACTTAGCCACTTGTATTGCATTGACTGCACTTTTGACGTGACCCTGACACAGAACCACCTTGTTTGTTCATGGCCACATTACGGTTAAAGAAGTATCAGAAATAGTGACGTTGGCAGCAGCAGTAAACAATTGCAACTGGGTCTCTCGCAATCACTGTGTTTGTATAGCCTAATCGATATGGAGGTCGACTGCACCACTTATCTTTCATCCTTCAGCAAGAGTCAAAGAAAGCAAATTTTTGGGAAGGAAACAGGAGATTACATGCCACAGTGAACACGTGGCTGCAAATATTTCCGTCACAAAGATGACATCGAAACAGTGTTCAGTACATACCAATAGCCCTATGAAGGAAGGGCAACACAAACAGAAACCCTCCTATAAGTATAAAATTGGCTGACATCCAAATGGCTATATTCTTTTTTCTAATCACTGCCGGCTAATGAGCTTTCTAAGGTAAAGTGTGCAATAAATGGCAGAAATAGCGTGTGAAGCTGACTTACATTAGAATACCCCAACTATTAAAGTCATTACTTGCTGGAAGGACGGCAGAATGACGGTGAAAAGCGGATTCTGCTCGAATGACCGTAAAACTCTCAGCGTCTTTGGCAGTAAACATATAAGCTCGAAGACTAGCAACTGCTAACAGATTTTTAAATATATTGGATACAAAACGCCATATACAACGAAAACAACGATTGCTCAAGAAAAATACACGGTTCAGCTGTTAGTCAAAGAACCTCTATATTGCTCCATGAAAGAAGAAGAATATGCAAAGCGAGTATCAGCTCGCTTGGAATATATAAAACTGTGGAATTAGCTTTTTATCCGTTATTCGACTTGTTTTCTAATGAGTATACCATGAACACAGGAAGATGATCCAAAAACATTGACTGTTCCTCACTCTCCATCTCGACGGTTGGCCTAGAAATTTTACTGAAGAATTGTTTTAGCGTGTTCTTGACGAATTTCTGTCCAACAGAACGCAATTTGTAAACACTGATGCCCGCCAGTTGTCTCTCAGGCGAGCCACAAGACCCCATAATAAAACGCAGAAATCACGTCTATTAATTTAGTCAGCTGTCGAACTTGTCCGTTCAAAACGCGATCCCGAAGGGAGATCTTGCTCGTTCTTCGCATCACCAATCTCAAGTCGAATGCAAAATTGCAATCGTTTATGAGCATAACTTAAAATTCTTTCTAGTTTTCAGCAGTTACGTCAAGCACTTAATCAATTCAAGATTTTGGCTTGTCAAGTCTGTGCTGGAAAATGTGCAAATGCAAGTGACGAATTAAAAAATTTTACATAGTAACAGTAACGCAATGAAAAAACTATGGAAATTAGCTATCTGTATCAAATACTTACACATTAAGATGCATCGTATACGGCAGAATCGACGGCCAGAATCGTAAAATTATACGAAAGGGATAATAAACTACGATCATTATGGACGCACCGAACATGAGCTGCAAATAAACTGGAGAATAATGGTCAACAATGAATTGCTAAATTCATACCACGGAAGCAAGAAATCGTCGGACATGCCTGAAGATGGGATACTGTATCATCTGAAAAGCGAGGAAAGGATGACTTATGCGTGAACAAACAAACGTTTCGTCAAGTACCTCCTGGACGGGGTTGAAGTCCGGATCGTTGATGTTTCGCAGAAACCACAGCACCCCAGGACGCATCACTTCTCGTAACAATAATATAAACGATGCGAAGTAGAAGACGTAGACCATTCCAGCAAGCCAATGAAGGAACAAAGAAGTACCGGGAGCGCTGTGATAATTTTGAAAGCGATCGCTGAGAGAGGAACCGAAAAGAGGCTGTAACACAACAAAGCGTTAGCGAAAACGGTAAAGAATATGCAAACAATGCAAACCAGAGAACAGATGTCCAGCCACCATCCGCAAAGCAACGGAAATATACCGACCTCGAACAAAACCAGCAGAAAAACCTTGATTATCAAGTAGCTGAGACCCAAAACTTTGTATGCCCTAAAAATTATAAATGCCCGACAAAAGGTGCTAAGATAAACGTGCTACTGTCTTTTACCTTGAAAACTTCAACCAAATGCAAAGGTTGTACATGATATACAAAGCAAAGCTAATTGCGATGTAGCCAACTAAAGTGACGACCAACCTTTCGAAATAAATCAGTTTCATGTACGAAAGAATATTCATCCAAGATGCAAAAACGTATCCGATATGATATGGAGAGAAAGCTGCAAAAGTGACCATAAACAAAAGTTGATATATATAAGGCAAAAGCAACATGTCCTACCAAAAGCTACAATGAAAAGGGTATTTAGCGAAATAACCCAGAAAACATGTTCCAAAAACACCAGTGATCCATCCAAGCCAAATAGTCGCTCCCACGTTAGCTCTTCGGCGGCTCGATCCCACTCAAATGGCTGCCAGTTGTTTTCATCTACAACGAAGAGACTTTTCAACTGGAACAAAGCAACAATTTATCGTATTAGTTTGCCACATTACCTTCAGGCACCCGCGCAGGTCCCGCAATCGCGGCTGGATTCTGTTCCCCTTCATCGTTGTTTGCCAACTGAGCATCCCCCTGGTTACGCTCTGCCTGACAAAATTGTTTTAACGTTTATTACATTTTTTAAACATATGACCAAAGTACATAGTGCATTTGACGACAAAAAATATTTATACTGAAAAACCGAGTTGTTTCAATAGGGCATGAAAAAGAGAGCTGCCGAATGGTGGCCCTACGTTTTTTTCATATGTCATTGCAACGATCGAAATTTCTTAGGGTACTAGTTAGAATCCATATTGCAAGTTAGCAGTTCCTCGGAGTGAAAAATGGGTCGCCTATGTTCTCTTGGGTGCAGTAGTCCGTTGCATGTTTCACAGTTCGAAACTCATCACATTCACAGTTGGGTAATTCATTCGTCGTACATCGGTACATTCCATGTTAAGGGCAGTGAATTTTCTCTAGAGCCAGCTGAAAGTTTGAACTTGTCAGGTTGCATTTTTAAACCAACAAGCTTCTTGAAACGCTACTTTGACCTACGATTCAATTCAAGGGCTGTTTTGTACTTCTGACCGTCCTGCTGGCACAGACGGTAAAATCGCTGATCCCGAATGGTATCCTGACTTGTTGTTGACCTTATCAGTTGTAGCTTGAAAATGAAACCAATATAGCAGCGGAACGTGCTGAATATTAAAGTTTTATCATTGGTTTTACCTAGTTCCTTTAACAACGAATCAACAGATTAGCT